TAGCCTCAACTTGAGCGACCCTTCTTCCGCGATCTTTGTGGACGACAAAGTCGCCAACGTCAATGCCGCCCGCTCCTTCGGAATTCATGGCATCGTCTTCGACTCCTCGACCGCTCTTATTCGTCAGTTGCGTAACCTTTTGATGGATCCTGTTGCCAGGGCACGCCGCTTCATGACCGTGAATGCGCACAAGCATACATCGTGCATTCAGGATGTCGCCCCCGTGATTTTTGATCACTTCGCCCAATTCCTCATACAAATTGAGTTGAATGATGATAGCGTCATCAGTCTCTCACCACCCGGCGCTTCCAACGCTGATGTCCAATCGGACATCCGACAGGCCCGTAGCCAAGCCAAAGCATGGAACTTCTTCAATGGCCCACCAGTCGGCACAACGAAAACGTGTAAGTAGAATCGATGAACAGTTGTGGTATATGTGCTGACTTCATACGCCTGAACCTAGACCCTGATGATGTCGACGATACAGCTCTCGCCTTTCTTGCGTTCTCTCCACCTGCAGCATCTGCCAATCCGATCTTGGACCGTATCGTCGAGAACAGGCACGATAAAGACGGTCTTATCATGATCTATCTTGGTGGCACGAGGCCCCGTGTATGCCCGTTCATTATGCTCAACGCCGTCCGTGCCCTCTATAGATACGGACGCGGCGCAGAAGTACAGCCCGAGCTCGAACACATTCGTCGCGTCCTTCTGAAAGGCGGTCACATCGATGGATCGGAACACTATCTTGCCAGCGAGACCTTTCTGTACTTTCTGGCGTGTCTCATCGAAGATAATCCCACTGCACCTGAGGTCCAGTCGCTACGTAAGCCAACGGTTGAGGCCTTACGTCAACGCGTCAATCGCCCCGGGGATTCTTTCGTCCTCGCCTCACGTGTCTTAGCATGCCAGAAGCTCGATGTGGAAACCCAATCTGACCTGGCATCTTTGAAAGAGTTGCAGGAATGTGACGGAGGCTGGGAACTGGCGTGGATATCTCGTTTCGGTAGGAGTAAGAAGATGATCGGGAACAGAGGAATACCTACGGCTTGGGCTATCAAGGCACTGGAGTACGAAGCCCAGCCATAGTTACACGAGAATGCTCTGCCGGCAAAAGGTCGACATTATAGAATAACACTTTGTGTTAAAATCATCTTATCACGGTTAACGGTCTACTACTGAACTCAGCTGATCCATCAACTCAAAAGAGTCGATACAATGTCCTATACACGGCGACGGCGGTACATCACTGTATACCGACAAAGATGTGCACCCACTGATGAATACCTACACTGCCGATTGACACGGAGGTGAAAGATGTACTCATGAAGGTTGTTCGCTCTTCCATCGCGCTCTTACTATCGCACTCTCACTATCAGTGACCAGCAGACAGATACAATCACAATTTTCGACATTCTAATCGCACCCTCAGCACCATCATACACCTCTCGGCCTTTGCAGTTGCACGAAATTAACAATGTCTACAGGATTTACTGGCGAGCGATTCAAGTACCCTGATGACGAATGTCTAACAGCGTACACCAAGGCTTTGGAAAAAGGTAGACTGCTGCATACACAGGCTCATTCTGACCAACCCAGCATTCCCCGGAGCGAGTTCCAATCCGTCTCCGACATTGAAGAGTGGGGCTATGTTCTGGATGTTAAAACCGACACCCGGATAGGGATTATGTGTTCGGCGCAACATGTGCTAGAAACTACCAGGAACGGCGAGACCTACCTGGCCACCGACGCCTAGTTCCTCAATAACATATATCCGGATGATGGTGAGATTGAAGCGACGGCTAACTACTCGCCTTACACTGTGGCATTGGGCTTGGTGAAGTTCGTAGATCAGCCGGTGCGCCCACCGGTATCGCTGTTGCCCAAACTATGCCACTGGAGCGACGTGGCATACCTCAAATGGCTGCATGCTACTCGTGATCAATCACCGACGCCTGTATTGCGCCTCGTGATCCGGACAGGCGTTGTCAATGATGTGACTGAGAAGGTGGTACAGCATGTAGTAGCTAAACTTCCACCGGGGGACTATAGGCGTGGGAGACATGATCTCGAGTATACGTTTGCTGCAGACTCTGACGAAGGTTTGGCAATACTTGGGACGCCTAATGGCGTTGGTACAGCCTACCTACTGGCACAACATAGGGATGGCTTGGGCCATCGGGTTGTCGACAAGATTGAAGTTTCTCGGCACGCGAATGTGGAATCAAGGCACTTGCAAATTATGTTTCACATCACGGAGGTAGAGAAGGTAGATCGAGGCGTCATGTAGTTGAACGTGGTCGGTAGCTAATTGATTTCCGATAATCTAGACTTGTCGTCACACGTTGTCCGGCTCCTAGAGTGCATTGCCTTTTCTCATTCCCCTCCTAGCATCTGAGAATATCATCTAGTCATCTTGGCTTATCCTCTCCGCCATCACAGCCTGGTTCTTCTCGTTGGCATGTGCAAACTCCCTGTATCTCTGCTCCTCATCTGACTTGCTCGCCCTTACAACTGTCCGGTTTTCTTTGTTGAGCCCCATGCAGAGCCTCGGGTTCTCGTAGAACATAATGTCAATTTGCTCTAGTGTACGTCCGGAAGTCTCAACGCCAAAGAAGTACGTGAGAGGTACAAAGGACGCGCAGACAGCTGCCCAAACCCAGAAGTAATGGCCACGGATGTTGTCAAGACCGATCGGGGTGACCATGACGACCACGAAGTTTGACATCCAATGCGAGAATACGCCAACCGCTGTTGCCTTGTTGCGGACACGGAGAGGTTGGATTTCGGCTGAGTAAGACCATGATACGGGCAATATACCGAGAGTGAAGCAGTCGAGATACAAGAAGATGAAGGCTACAGCTGCTGCCGCGCTGGCAAAGCTGTTCTTCGCGAGACATCCGGCGATGATAGCCATACATGCTGCGCAACCGGCTGACGAGCCCATGACTGACCATCGACGCCCGATCTTGTCGATGTAGAAATAAGGTGGCCAAGAGAACACGGCATACTGAGTGAAGGCCACGGAGGCAAGGATCAGAGACATGCTCGGAGAGTAATCGAGGTACTGCTGGAAGATGTAGGCGAGATAGTAGCACAGCGCGTTGATACCGCTCCACTGATTCATCATGTACGGGCCCATTCCGAGAACAACACGGTGTAGATTGCGGGTCTTAGTGGCGTTGCTGAAGACTTCACCCCAGGTGGGTTCCTCTTCGCTGCTCTCTGCCGCGATAGCGTCGAGAATCTCCTGGAGTTGACCTTGCACTTCTTCGTCGTCCAGAGGCTTGTCCAAAAGCCGGCTGATGGTATGTTTCGCCTCATCGATCCTTCCACGAGATGCAAGCCATCTTGGTGTTTCGCAAAGGAATGGGCAGAGCGCCAAGACCATGAGCGAGAAGAGGATCTGGCAGGCGACGGGAAATCTCCATTGTAGTGAGCTTTCAGCGTACAGTGTCGCAAAGCATAGCCAAGAAGCGACTGCGACTCCGATGATGATCAGAGCGGATTGGACGACGAGCAGTGAACCACGGTTGTGCGCAGGCAATGTCTCTGACTGTAGGATTGGCACTGCAACCGTTGACAGCCCGACGCCGATACCACCAATGATGCGCGAGACAAACATCTGCCAGTAATCAAAGCTAGCAGTTTGTATAGCAGCACCGATAACGACGATAAGGTTGGCGAGGATGATAGAGCGCTTGCGTCCGATGCGTTCACCGAAGACGAAAGCGACGACGGCACCGAGCGCACATCCAATATCGTAGATAGCGGTAACTAATCCTGTCATCGTTGGGTTCGGGTTGCCGAGGGTATCCTTGAAGCGCTGGCCACCCAAGATACCGCCGAAAAGTCCTTGATCATCTATAGTGGCGTTAGATATCGAACCACAATGTAAAGTGAGTTGCTTCAGGCTTACATCCGAAGAGAAGGAAGTCAAGACCAGAGGTCAATAGAATGACTGCGATGAGGCTCTTGCCTCTTAGTTCAAACATGTTGAAGAAGACCCTGAACCTAACAGTCTGGTAAGCAGGAAAGGACTGCAAAACAGTATGATCGTGAGCCAAACATGTGGGCCGCAATCATGTATCCTTTATACTCGCAACCCCGTTGAGATGTGCACCGGCATCTCCTCATCCAGTTTAACGTCGATGCTTCTAATGTAGCGCGAGGTATCCATGTGGGATTTCTTAGCGGACCGTGTCCGGGGAAATTATGGATATGCGGGGAAGCAAATGCGGAGGTGAGGAATGTCAAAGCTTGCGCGAGAACAAGGCTTCGAACAGATACATTCATGGCGTTGCATCTGGGCTGAAGTCATGGTAGCTGGGCCGGCTGGGCGAGAATGCGGGGTTCCGCTTTAGGAAATGCCGCGTCCTGAGTGCGGAAGGTTTGCCGCGATTGAAGCACCAGGTGATTTCCCTGGTTCCTGTCGGCCGTCAGGATGAACTCCAGGTAGCTCAAATGATGACTCGTACTGTCTTGTTGGTTTTTGTTGATGGAATGTCGCATCGTACAAGCCTGGACTGCCATACCATCAGCTGTCAGGCCAGAGGTCTCGAAAGCGTGCGAACGATTTCGCGATGCGCGTAGGGGAGGCTTATGTCCGTGATCAGAGCCTCGGATCGGAGTACTGCGAAGACAAGGGTGAATAACCGTGCATGATGCCCGGGCATCTGGGAGTATAGATAAAGATTTCGAGCTCCCTGCAAGAATTGGTTGATGGAGATGATGAAATCGCCTTTGCTGGAATATCAACACGTCGAGTGGATTCGATACACGCAGATGAGAATGTGAAGAAAGACTTTGTGAGAGTGTTTGATAAGTAAAAGTACATCTCAGGTATGTGTACCGTGCTTATACATCACCTTCATGCCGCGGCACAACCCTCCATAATGAGATTCATGAGTATGTCCGCAAAAGATAATCTTCATGCTCGTACCCTTTCCAATTCCACCGTCTTGTGGAATTCCCACATTTTCATGGAACGTGTAGTCCTCTCACTCCAGCTCACCTAACATCTCTCTTGTCGCACTCAAGCTCTTGGTATCTCCGTAGATCGCCGCGATCAGACTTCCATCGATTTTCGGGAATTCGCGTTGGAGCACTTCGACGTTATCGTCATCATCGTCTTTTCTTCCTGCTGCCTCGTAACTCTGCATGACCTCAATTTGGTGGGAGCGGTCCTGTCCGGTGGGAAGTGCCATCTCCGTAGCTGTGCGACGAGGTGGAAGACCTGGTGGGACTTCCTCTTGTCCAGGGTAGGAAGACTGATTTGGATAAGAAGGCTGAGGCTGTTGTTGCTCATGGTAGGGTTGCTCAGAGAACCCATGGGGTTGGGACTGCATGAATGGGTTGTGCGATTGGGCTTGGCTTGGCTCTTGGCTCCATGGAGAGGTATCCTGGTGTTGAGGGGGGTATTGCGCATACGGCTCTTGGGGAGGATGTTGGCCTAGCGGATTTGGGGGTGGCTGTTGAGCATACGGATTCGGAGGCGGGTCTTGCGCTGGTTGGTAGGCTTGATAGGGATTGTGGCTTTGGTTGGTCTGGCCTTGCTGGTTTCCTTGGTCCGCCCACGGGTTGTCGTTGTGGTTGGAGGCCATGACTGCGATATGTGTGCTGCTCGATGTTCGTGTGATAGAGGGTTTGAGGGTTCGAGAAGGAGTGCAGCGCGCTTGTTTGGCAAGCAGGGAATCTTTGAAGCTCAGGGCTGACTGTTGGCTGACGAGTACGTGAAGGCGCGGTAGACGATGACGTACGCTTAGCGCACGTGCCTCCTCGCCCCGCTTCACCAACACAGGCCAGGCGCATACTGGCTGCGATAAAGAACAACTTCGTACCCAAGTACTGTAGCACACAGGTCGCATTCCAAGACTGACTATCAAGAAGATAGCCCTGGCCTTGCATTGTACTCGTATCACTATCACGCCTACAATGTACATCTGTCAGCGCGATGTGTGCAAGGACAGCTCCTGCCTCGCCGGAAGCGGACACCCCTTGCATAACGCGGGCTGCTCCTTCAAGGTGCTTCTGAAGTACTATATATGAGCACGCCAGGTAGGATGCGTGGTTGTATCTTCATACTCGCTGTATGAGAGCACATCCTCTCCATCGTTGCAGTCATGGCAGCGCTGAGCTTTCAGCCCTTCGTCCTCCGTTCGTTCAACGCGCCACTAGGTGTTGACTTCCTACGCAACTTGAGTGCCAAGATCTCGCCTTTCTTCGACTGCGAGCGCGCTCGATTGTTTGCGTATATCAATGCTAATAAGAAAAGCACTTTATGGAAAGAGATGAGAGAAAAGAGGCTGGAGGCCAAGAGGCGTGGTAGGCGATGTCGTGCATCTTGCTCGCCCTGTTGAGCAGGCTAACAACATATAGAGAAGCAGCAACAACGCGCCGAAGAGAAAGAAAAGCAGAAGAAAAACAATTCAAATTGTAAAGAAAGACACCGCGAAGCACAAATGAAACTCAAAGCCAAGATCTTGCAGAAGAAGTAAAGTAAGTCCATGTCTAGCGGAAAACCATCGCCCGTGACGTTCATACATCAGCAAGATCATATTGTTGACGCTCGGCAGGCGGTAGTAATACCAAAACTCGTTCAGGTCTCAATTTTCGCGTCAGATGGCGTCATTGCTCCTAACATTAACCCGAACACAATGGGTGTACAGACTGCGCTCAAAGTTCTAAAAACTCCAAGGTTATTCCAAAGCTATGCCAGCCGCTTCAACATGTAGCCAATGTCTTACTCCAGGAGGTGGAAGGAGTAATGATGAAGATACATTGTTTGGTCGCACGCCCAGGTAGAGTGGGAGGATCTGTCTCTGCGTTACATCGTCCTGCGTCTCTCTAGTGCAATTCCGTTGGTTCTCTCCACATCTACTTAGCAACGTCAGTGAATGCAAATGAAAAGTGTGATGAACTGACGAACCCAGACTCCTGCATCCCCTTGCGCTTCTATTTTTTACCAGACGCCATAATAGTAAACCGGTCGGTGGGCACGTTACGAGTAGCGTGACGAACGCAATGATGGCTTCGGTGGACCAGGAGGGCATGTTGACTAATACTCGAGATTGATTGAGGTATGAAGGTAGCAAGGTATGGAGGTAGTAAGGTATGAACCTTAGAAGATAACAAGGTACGAAGGTAACAAGATATATAGCAAGGAGCTAGGACCCTCTGTAAGTCTTGAGGCATCTCGGTCGGTCTGGATGCGAGATCATGGCATCAATTGTATACAAGTCAGGTTCCGCATCATTGGCTGGAGAGGGAGAACAGCATCACGTGTCATGTTTTGGTCCTAGTACATCTCTGATAACGCAGAGCGCTTTGACCTTAACCTCGAAACTAAACTTCCTATTCCTATTGATTCGATGCCCCAGTAAGAAGTTTACTCTCTGGTTTTGCATGATTGGCTTGTCGGGCTGTGGCTTGCATGCAGTTGCCAGTCGCAATGGGGACTAGCTCAACATACTCAGGTTTCGCGTCATTGGTCCACGGGTGCATCTCCAGTCCAGCCGCCTGCTCAGCAGCTAGTATATGAGCATATGCCTGTCTCTTCACCACTGCGCTCCTCCTCTTCCTCTGTCCTGTATATCTAATTACCTACTCGACTCCAGTTCGCGATCAATCTGCGCGATCGTGACGCCCAACGTCCACCAGAATGGCGAGAGTGCTCGCAGGGCGAATTCCCGACGAAGTCTGGGACTCTCATAAGCTTGTTATTGGAGAGTTCTATATTGGGGAGGATAGAAAGCTCTGTGGTCAGGACGGCGTCATGGACCTCATGACTAGACGTTATGGATTTTCGCCTACGTACGTCTACACACCTGCATGAACTATTTATATTGCGTTAAGCTCACTTTCCCCTAGGTAGTCACAGTACGAAAGTAAGATTGCCTCCTGGGGCATGCGCAAGAAGATCACCGAAAAGGAATGGAACGCTATCCTACCTCGTGTGCAGGGAAGAGAAGAACGTGGTCGGCAGACCCACGTTACTTTCAACGGTGTTCTTGTCGATGGGAAACGTATAGGAAGAGAGCTTGATCGCCGGCGTTCGAATTCAAGCATGCGCCAGAGGTTCATACAAGGTATGACATTTTGGACTTACTGCCATACCTAATTACCAAGCTGATGTTCACAGATCCCGGAACGCCACCAGGTTTTGAGATAGGATCTCCACCACCCACCGCCGATACGTCTACCGATACAGGTATGATGGACATCAGCCAGTCATCTGTACAATTCATAGCAAATGAAGCGAAAGAGTTCCATCTGGTGATAAGGAGAACGCAAGAAGGACATGAAGAGGCATCAGCGCAATCAAATTTCCACAGCCTTGCGGAGGTGCCTGGGACGAACAATATCCCTCCGGCTCCAATACGCCTTGACGATTTCTCTTGGGGACTCCCGGCTACCGACTTTGAAGTTCAACCACACCATCGAGATCCCATCACCTTTGAGATGGTTCAATCTTCGTTCGATCCAAAAGATGAAGCTACCTTCATGAGCAATTTTACCTGCTGCGAACTCATCCTCGGCTCTCTTCATGACCTGCTCCAACATTTTGAAGAAACCCACGCAAATATTCCATCCGCGAGGGCAACGACAGTGCGCGAGGGGGGTCTGGAGTCATGAAGGTATAGATATTAGCTATGACGAAGTGACTTTTGATCCTCAAACTATACCCAAAGGGTCAAACCTCATTTCAAGGATTTGTAACGCATATCAACCTTGATAATAATGATAATACATTCTATCAACTCACTCTAGCGCGCTACGGTACCTACGTAGGCGTCGTGCACGTTAAGCAAAGCGTTCTAAATCTTAATAAGAAGAGGAGTTTAGAAGGTAAGGATGCCAGTAGAAATAGCTTATTAGCAATATACCAAGCATTTTTACAACACAAAGGAAGCTGTTCCTAAAAGAGCAAGATCCGTTGCTAGTAGACAAAAGAGCCTAAGTCCAAAGATTGTTTTCCTAATAATGCTCTACAACGACAAGAGGTTTCTTCTTCGCCGTTTGCGTAGACTATGCGAGGAGCCGCCGTGACATAAGATAAGATGCCAACAACCCCCGCTATCACAGGTTCGTAGGTTTACAAATGAATTTATACTCCTTAAACTAGCTTCTCCTTCTGCTTCTGGAACCGTGCTGATTTATCAAGATCATTCATCAAGGCTTTATCCCGAGCCGTTATTATATTGCGCTTTCCCTTACGTTCGTTTCGTTCAGTCTTGCTTGGCCTTGGCGGTACTTCCGGTTTCTGTTGAGGCTGATCGCGTCGAATGGCTTCATTTCGAGGAGCCAATGCCTCCGGTGCAGACTTGGGCTTGAAAGAACGAGGTGGCTTAGGTGGCGCTTTTTGGTTCATTGAATCTTGGTCGGGTCTGGTGTGAGAGGATGAGAGTGATGATAGGTAGTGGGGTCTTGAACGGCTTGATCCTACTCCCAAGAGATCATCTCGAAGCCAATAATACAACGCAGGGTCTTCTTCTACATATGACTGGCTGCGTGTTTGATCTAAAACCACAGGTTCTCCATGCATGGGAGCGTATGGATTGATGGCTTGAGGTGGGAGCACATCGAACTCATCTGAATGAGTGTACGGTCTCCGTTTTGAACCTTCTCTGCTATCATCTCTTATATAGTGCGGCTCTTGTACGGTATCCAGTAAATCGAGAGCCTTCGGAGCGTGCAAAGGTGAAGCTAACGCAGGATCGGGATGACTTTGGTGGCTACTTGGTCGTGATCTGCCACGATTCTGACGAGACGAATGGCGGCTATGCCTACTGTAACTGGCTCCTTCGGCTCTCTCGTTCCTGAGCCCGGCCATTCCATCGTTCTCATAGCTTCTCAAACGACGAGAACCACTCTCTGATCTTCCGTTCAAATCACCACCGGGACTGATGTACTCAAATCCACCTGTGCGCCTGTGCGGTGCAGCACCTTCTTGCCTATGATGCCGAATTTGTGAAAAACACCAACGCGGATGGCAGAGAAAAAGGAGCGCAGTATCTAGCCTTCCGCCTTTGGTTGAGTTAGGTGTCGGGAACATGTCACAGCCCATGGAGCCCGAGTTCTTGATGATGATTTTCGTCTCGCCAACAATGTAGATGCCATCGTTCCGGACGGAAGCAAGTTCGGGATGGCGGGACGATGAAGTACGGCGCTTTGAGTCCGGCATCTTGTGTGTACAGAGACATCGGAAAAATTACGAGGGATGCGCAGATACACATTCAAAGTTCCGTTGTGTAACGCGTCTAGACATGGGCGTTTGCAACCAACTGTTGGCGGTGAGCGATAGAGGTATGAGGAACACAAACACCTATGTCGTACGTTTATCCGTCGAAGTGCTAGGTTTAGCACTCCATCGTTTGATCTTAGCATACAGTGACGTTTGCGCACAGGTGGCATTGCGACATTGGCTCGGAATTTCGGATTCCAGAAGCGGGTAGTTATATTGGGTAGAACGAGGCCACGCAGCGAACACAGGAAGGGAAAGCCTTGATCGTGTTTCAAGCTATCATCAATCATCAATCCATGACCGTATGATCTCATGGATACGCAATCTAGCCCGAACAGCCTGAGCCTCGTAGAGCGAACA